GTGTTGAGAGGGGGATGAGGCATGTAGGCAGTTTTGGGATCGGGATCGAGGCCAAACGTGGGGCCGTCGAAGCGCAAGTAGGGCGGGGGCTGGTCGCGGGTCCCCTTCGGCGCGGCTGGCACATGGGCGGGGGTGAGGCGACCGTCTCTCTTCTTGGTTTGCCAGCCGGCTCAAGATTCCGCCCCATGCACGGCCCTTCATCACCACATGATACGTCGTCCTCGATGCCAGGCAACCGAGCGCACTCATCAACCCCGCTCACCCCCCCCCCCGGCCCCACCTGCATTTTGACAATCTGGCGGTTGATGTACTGCCCCCTGTTGGGCAGCAGCCGCATGGTGTGCCGCTGGGCGCAGTGGCGGCACACGGACGGCTCAGACACCACGCCGTCCTCGACCTTGGGGGGGCGTCAGTTGGGGGATCGATGACGCAGAGTGACGTCAGCAGAGGGCGGCGTCACACGGCTCAAGCGCAGAGCCAGGTCTGCACGCCTTGGCGGGCCGCTCCCCGTCTTCAGCTGCCAATCGGCTGCCAACGTGCTGCCCACAAGCAGAAGACCCAACTCTTGAGGCGGCGGTAAAGCAGGGCGCGCTGACTCAGCAAGCCGGGGCAGCCACCCCGCCCGCCCGCCGCGGTGCGGCCCACCCTGGAGGTCTCCTCCCCGTTGCACGCGTCACAGCGGAAGTCCGCCACCCTGCGGTGCAGCAAAGGCCGGGGTAGCGGGGCAAGGCGGGGGCTGGGGCTGTGGCGCGTCGCACCGGGCGCAGGGCGATGCGGCGCGGCTCGGTCGGCGCAGTGCCAGTGCCGGCGTCTGGTAACCAGAAAGACCGGGACGGTGTTGCTGGGGCCGTCCTGATTGAGCCATGTGTGACGTGTGATCATGAAGGCACCCGCACGCCCCCTGCCGCAAACCCCCCATCCCAGGCGCCTGCAGCCGGCACTCGTCCGCGCACGATCACGCATCAGACACAAACCGAACACCTCAACATTCAAACCTCAATTCAAATCCATTCAATACTCATCCAAATTTCATTCAAAATCGCGGCGCGGCGCGGCGGTCACCTGAGGTCTGGGATGATGGTGCCCGTCCTTGTCACCATGCCGCGCACCGCCACCAGTGTGTCCAGGTTGAGCGGGTCCAGGTCGCGGATGGCGCGCGTGTGCTCCGCACGCAGGTTGAACGGACGCACCTGCGCGGGGGGGCGCGCAGGGCGGCGCGCGGCGGGACGCAGCAGCAGCCCGCGGCGGGTTACAAGTGGCGTGGCACGGGCTGCGTCGTCGGGAAGCCGAGCCGCACACGCTGGGCTCCGGGCGCCCGGGCTGGATATCAGATCTGGAGGCGCCCAGATCGCGGCGCCCAGATCACGGCCCAGATCACGGCGCACCTGGACGGCCTCCTCCAGGGGCGGGGCGTCGTCCCCCAGCTCCTGCACCAGCTCCATCGCCTGGTGGAAGGCGGAGAGGCACAGGCACGGCGTGGATGGGGCAGGCCAAGGGGATGGGAGGGGCCCGCCCGCAGCGCCGCGCGCGGCGGACCGCTTTGCGCCAGCAGCCTCGCTGGCGGCTTCCTCAACCATGCATCCCTGCCGGCCGCGCGGAGCCGGGCGCCCCCCTTGCGCTGCACGTTGGACGGGGTCGTACGGACCCAGCAAACCTCCCCAACACCACAACACACACACACACACACACACACACACACACACACACACACACACACACACACACACACACACACACACACGCGTGCACACACACACGGAAATGGCGGCCCAACACGCACGCGCTTGAGCATTCACCTGTGCCGTGGCCTCCTCGTCCCACACCAGGATCATGTCAGTGGGGTAGTCCACCGTGACCTGGCACATTGATGGGAACAACAGCACGGCCGCACCGCATGGTGCCAGATCCGAGGCTGCAACAACCTCACCAGCCCCACAGCCTTCAGACTTGAGGCCGCAGGCCCGCTTGCGCCGGCCCCACGCCCCCGCCGCCCCTCTGCTGCCATGCACATCCGCAAGGGCCAAAACAGCTCCGAACTTGCCACCCCGCTGCTGGCCTTGCACCCCTTTTGCACAACCACCACGGTATGCAAGCGCCCGGTTTCCCGGACTCTGCACCCTCCACCCCACCCTCCCACCCCCCCCCACCTGGTAGAGCAGCCTGTCGCAGGCGTACACGTCATCCATGTCCACGTTGAGGCCAAAGCGGCCGTCCATGACCATCTGGGGTGGGGGGTTTAGTGACAGATGTGCGTGTGTGTGTGTGTGTGTGGGAGGTATGTGTGTATGTGTGTATGTGAGTGTGTACGTGTGTACGTGAGTGTGTGAGTGTGTGTGTGTGTGTGTGTGTGTGTGTGTGTGTGTCCGCGCGTGCACTCGTGCGTGCGCTTGCGTGTGTCACATACGTTTGCGTGCGTATGTGTGCGACAAACATGCACACGCGCACACAAGCCCCACAGCAGCCCGATGTCATCCGGGGGCACACCTCTCTGAGCAGCTGCATGTAGGTCGGCTGCCGCGCGGAGCCCGCCGCCGCCGCGGCCGCGTCGCGCGTGGGGTCGTAAAATGTCACCAGGAAGCGGCGCACGCGCGACTGCATGTCCGAGGTGCGGAACTTGCTGCCCCAGATGAACCTCTGCTCGCCGCTCTCCTCCTGCGGTCCGAGGTTGTGAAAGTGTCCGAGGTTGGGGGTGCCGCGGGATCGTGCGCGGGCGGACTGGGGTGTGCGGGCGCAGGTCGGTTGTTGCCGAGAGCCCCAGCGGTTGCGAAGCGAACGATGTTGAGCTGTTTTAGCGGCATCCCGCGCCTCACAACGGGTTTTTGCGGTCAAATACGGTGGCGTGCAGGGAGGCAGCAGCGCCCCGCGGCGCGCCAGGCGCGCGCGCCGGCGAGCGCGCGCAGCGGCGGCAGCCCCGCCTCACCGGTCCCATCGAGCTCGCGCCCCTCCCGCCGCCGAGCGGCCGGCCAAACTCGGGCCGCGGCACCGACAGCGGCGTGCGCAGCGCCGCCGCGCCGGGCGTCAGGCCGGCGGCGTCGTGCGACGCGGCCTCGCCGCCGCCGCCGCGGCTGCGCTCGGGGGTGCGGGCCGTGCCCTGGGAAGCCGCCGGGAAGCCGCCCCCGTTGCCGGCGCCCGCACCGCCGGCATCCCCGTCCACGTCCATGCTGTCGTCATCGTCGCCGCCGCCCCCGCCGCCGCCGCCGCTGCCAGCCGCGCCGCGCCGAGCGGCCTGCATACGCCGCCTCGGCGCCGCCCCCCCGGCGCCGCCGCCGGCGTTCTCGGCCCCCTCGCTCTCCTCCTCCTCCCGCAGCGTCGGCAGCTCGCTGGCGCCGCCCTTGGACGGCGTGGCAGCTCCGCCGCGGGCGCCGCGTGTGGCCCTCTCGGGGGCGGCCTGCGCCACCTCCTCGCCAGCGTCCTCAAGCGCTGGCAGGTCTGACTGGACGTTGGAGGGCAGGCTGGCCAGAGGGCCAGACGCGCGGCGTCCTGGGGAGCATTTGGGGGGGGTGTGAAGGGGAGATGGGTTGGCAATGCGCGGAGGGGCGCCATTGGGGAAGGGGGGTGGCGACTGTCAAGGAGTGCGGAGGCACGCAGCGCGATTGGCGCGGGCGGGCGGGCGGGCAGGGGCACCCACCCTTGCTAGCGCTCTTCTGGCGGCCCGTGCTCTTGGCGCTCTGGGGCGAGAAAGGAGTGCCCCCTGCGAGCGAGGGCGGCGGGTGCGCAGGGGTGTTCGAGCTTGCCGCATGCGCAGCTGGTTGCAGCCGCGCTGCACTGGCAACACGGCCTACTGGCAACAGGCCAGCGCACACATTGCATGAGTAATCACCTGTGGTCTTGCTGGGCGTACGCTGCTCCATATTGCAGCAAGGAGTGTGCGCTGATCGGGTTGGCGGGCTTCGCTCGCGGGGTGATCGCCGCCTCACGTCAAGGCTATCACTTCAATAGATTGCTTTGCGTCAAAGATACCTATATCAGTCACAAATATGGACACGCGGGCCAGATCGGCACTCGCGCGCAATTTGGATTGCGGGTCCAGAGCGGCTCTGTGAGCTGGTGTAAGTGGCAGCAATGATACAAAGTGAGCTCAAATGATTGTTCGTGATGACTGTGCGCCCTTCGGTGATCCCTTTAGCGGGTGACTGGTGATCACCAGTGCCTGATCGCCGCAACGGCTACAACTGCATCCATTGCCATGTGATTTTTTGTTGCTATATTCTTATGATACGTGAACCTTACAACACATCACTTTTCAGGTCGGCAAGGCTGCCAATCTCACTCCGGCCAGCGCGTCAATCCTAGACACGATCGCTGCTGCCGTTTGCGAATCCTGTCTGGATTAGAAATGCAGGGGTGTAGCGCCCCGTGCGGCCGCCCTGTGGGGGTTGCACCGGCAGCCGCTGCTTCGGCCCCGCTGCGCTGCTCCCGACGCCGCCCCCCGCCGCATCGGCGGCCCCGCTGCCGCCGTGCCGGCGCTCCAAGAGCGCGCGAGCGGACATGCTGGGCCGCGGCTGCAGGCAGTGACGCGCAGTTGGCGGGCGGCGGCGACCAGGGGTATGGCGGCGAGCCCATGTCAGCGGTCATTGCTGACGTCCTGCGCCAGCACCGCCAGCAGCAGCTGAGCAGGCAGCCAGGCGAAGAGGTGAGCTGCCGCCTTGCGCGCATGCGCATGCGCATGCGGGTTGGGGCTTGCCCGCGGAGAAGCGCGGGCACGCGTGCAAGCGGGCTGCACCTTGCCCTGGGGGCAAGTGCAAGGGTCGACCCGACCCAAAGCCGCCTGAGCCGAAATGACGGCCCTCCACAAAGCCATTTGTCCACTGGAAATCCCTACCTGCAAACTAGATGCGCTGCTTGAGCACCAGATGTGTTGCTTTAAACCGCATGCTGTATCCACCTATCTACACATCTCCGCTGTGCTCCCACGCAACAAAGCCGCAGCCGAGCCTGCTGGAGCTCCTGGACCGCGCCGGCGCGGGCGTGCGCACGCGGGTGACGCGCACGTGGGACACGCGGCGGGTGCGGGTGACGCTGGAGGGC